GGGCAGTTGCTCTGTGTACTGCTTTTTAGCATGTAATTTTTTTTTTTTAGTTCTTATTTTTGTTTTGTTTTTTTACAAATAGAAATACATCCCTTTTCCATTTTTACTTTTTATTTCATGTCATTGTTTTGTCTTTTTCTTTTTAACTACACGAGCAGGGCATGCAGCTACCTTTGCGCTGATATTGTTTAAAGGTAATACTTATTTTCGGAAGGCAAGGCACATCATGTGGTAGAAAATTTCGTGCAAATTAGGAAACATGGACTTTTTTAAGGGTATTTTTTTTGTATCTTTTTTTTTTTTAAAGAGGAGGGGAGTAGTGGGGCTGGGGCTGGGAGACAGAGCCAGGTAGAGTCTGCCATGCAGTGCCAGCTGCAGTGAGCTGGCAGCAGGAGCCAGGCCACAGGAGTCCTCGACTAAGCACCATGCAAGTTAGGTCGCTGGGGGCTGCCAGGTGCCCCCTCCCCTACCACGCCTACCTGCACCCTAAGGTTCCCGGCTAAGCTTCCGGATACCCTAGCTGCGTGACCCCCCCCTCCGCCCTCCCAACCAACGGCCCATGCTTCGGCCCCCGGCGGCCACCTGCAGGGCCCTGGGGACCCACGGATGGGCCCAGGGGTCTTGAACCCCTCTGGTCAATGGGAGGGAGGGCGGGGGAGGGTCTTGGAACTTTCTCTTTATGACCAAGTGGGTTCGCCAAGCCCCTCGGGCTGGTTTGGGAGGAAAGTCCGGTTTCTGGAAGTGGCGGGAGGCTGGCCAGGCCCGGGGGTAGCAAGAGAAGGAGCTGAGGGCCAGGCTGGGAGCAGATGAGGCGGAGGCCCTGCTCAGGGCACCAGCTTTGGCCTAGGCCCGGGGCGGGTCATGGTGGGTAGATATTCCTCAGCGCCAGGCATGGAGGCTGGAGGCCGCCAGGGGGCTCAAGAGGAGGGGCCGGGAGGGATCTGTGTTTGGGCCTGGTTACCCTACAACACCTAACACTCCCTCCTAGGCCCCCCACTCAAGATGGCCACCTGGGGTGGGGGTGGGATGGGGCTGGGGAGCCGGGGTGGGGGGCACCCGGTGTCCCCAGCTTAGTGTTTTTGGAGCGGCTCAACGGAAAATGCTTAGCAGATGGAGGTCCCCTATGCAGCCGCAGGGGCCCAGAGGTGCGGGCACCCCCTCCACCAGAACCTCCGCCCCGTCCAGGATTGCCGCCCTTCTGGGGGCCCTGCTGCAATGCACCTCCCCGGCTGTGCCCACTTTGGGGGGAGATAAAAGTGCAAACCGTAGTCCCCCTTTGGGCTGAGGCACCAGGGAGGGGGTGTCGCTCCAGGATGTAAGGCACTGGCAGAGGAGGCGTTGGGGGGTGCACACCAGTTTCCCCAGACCCTGCCCCCACGCCCCAGCACAGCAGGATGCTTGGGGGACACCCATCTTTCTGAGGGGAGCATAGCAATGAGGGGTCAGGGACTGACGGTGGCCGGGTTGCGGGGGAGGGGGTGGGGATGCCCACGGCCACTCTCACGTCTCAGCTGGACAGAGGGGTGGGCGGTGGGAATCAGGCACTTAATCCACTCGCTCTCACCTCCCACCTCCTCTGGGTAAGTGGGAAGGGTCCTCCCCGCCCAGGGCTCAGTGGATGGAGACGCCAGACGACCTCCTTCCTTGAGGAGCTCTGGGTCTTCCCATTCCGCCCCCACAGCCCCTTCCTCGGAAAGTGCATTTCTTACAGTGTGTGCAACGTGGATCCCTCCCCTGGGGGTGTGGAGCCGCCGGTGGGTGCGGTGGGGGGTGCGTGGCCTTCTATGCCGCCGGGTGGGGCTGGGGGGCAATTGCATAGAGACTTCTCTTCCCAGACAGACAGGCGCGGGGCTGAAAGTCCCGAGCCAGCCCAGCACGTGCACGCTGTGGGGCAGGTAGAGATCCCGTGACGGCCCCAGGACGCTCCTGAGAACAAATCTGCCACATGTCCTTGACCCCTGGTGAGGCCCAGGGTCTCCCACAACCTTCGTCTGCCCTTGTCGCTCCCCTGCCCGCCCCGGCCTCCGTGGCGCCTGCCTTCCTGCTCGGAAAGGTCACCACCGGCGTGGGAAGCCTGGCCAACATCCTGGCGGCAGAGACGAAGGGGACACGGGGGAGAGGTGGCCCTGCTGGGCGTCCTGCCCCGTGGGGCCTGGGCCCGGGCATCAGGCTGTGCTCACCTGGTCCAGGTGGAGGTGGAGGCGGGCACCTGCCTTTCCAGAGCAGCAGTGAGAGATGAGTAACTTAGAGAGGCCCCCGGGCACTGTCATGTCCTCGTGCCCTCTGCCGAGGGGGGCAGGTCCGAGGGGGGCAGGTCCAGCTGTGGCGTCCCAAGGGTCCGAAGCGTTGCCGTCTTTGCCTTTTGTCTTCTTGCTTGGGTGGGTTTATTTTTATGATTTTTTTCCCATTTGTCTTTTTTTTTTTGGCTTTTTCTTTTTTTCCTCCTGTGTGTATGTGTCTATGTGTTTTGTCTTTTCGGCTGGGCTGGGAGTCGGCAGGGTGTTCTTGCTTTGCTTTAACTTTCCACCGAAAACGTGGGCTGGGGCCGGCTGTGCAGCCCACCCGGACGAAGGAGCAGGGCGTGGGAAGAAATCGTTCTTATCCCAGGTACCAGGACTAGCCGGCCCCAGGGGGACGCAGCGGGAGAGAGGGAGAGAGAGAGAAAGCCAGGTCAGGCTCTGCGGCTGCCCACACCGCCCTCGGCCCCACCCCCGCCCTGTGACCTCTGTCTCCCCCAACCCAGGTCTGTCGTCACGTGCGGGGTGACCCTGGGCAAGCGACTTCACCCCTGAGCAGGGCTGCTGGATAAAACACAGCGCTCCCCGTGAAATCCGAATTCCTGATAAATCTTCCAGTACAAGCACACACCATGAGGTTTTGGAATATACTCATGTACCAAAAAGAAACAAAGTTTTAGTCCTTCATTTATCTGGAATTCACATCTCCCTGAGCGTCCTGTCGCTGTGCTCTGTAACTGGGCAACAGGACTCCGAACCTCACTGCCCTGAGTACAGAAGGGGGGGGTGTGTGGTTTCACTCTGCCTCCAAGTCCATTTTCTGCAGTGCCACTCTATCCAGGTATTGTGACCAGCGTTGCTTCTTTTTTTAAACAAACATTCTCCCACTTAATGATCCCCCAAACCCCTGTGAAGGAGGACCCACCCCATTACCCAGTGGAGAAAACTGGGGATCACAGAAGTCAAATAACTTGCCCAAGGTCACCAGCGTGGGACGCAGGAAGCGGAGTTTACACTCGGGCCTGAGATGCTCCAGTCCCTGATTTTCCCTCTGCCCGGGACTGACCCCTGAGCCCGGGCCTCAGGGACTTCGGACTCCGACTCCCGTTTGCACAGATAGCGGCTCGGAAGGGAGGCCAGGCCTGCCCCGGACAGCTCAGTGTCGGTCTCCGCAGGGAAGCTGCTGTACGGACGCCTGCCCCTGTGGGGTGGGTCTGGGGACCACCACCCCTTCCCTGAGGTCAGGGCAGGGCTGTCCCTGCCCCTGCTATAAATCAATTGTATCTCCTCCAACCAGGCCTTCAACCGGAGTGCCCTGCAGCGGCTGGGCCATCCCATCCAGCTAGCGCTGTGGCTCCCAACCCCCACCTCCAACCAAGTTCAAGTTCATCCTGGCCATTACCTCATGTCTGGTTTCCCTTGGCAACCAGACAGACTCTGGGCGTGGCCCTCCCCGGTGGTGGCCGGCCTCCCTTTGGCCCGGCCTCCTCCTTCCTCCCCTCCCAGGCCAGCTGCCCGGCTCTGGCCCCAGGAACAGGGCGGCACCCTCAACCCCACATCCTCTCCCTCCGCTGAGAGGAAGGCTGAGGCAGTGCAGTGCCAGGGGTGAGGTCTGGGCTCTGGCATTCCCCTGGGCTGGTTGAGCCACCAAGTATGGCTTCGGGCATGTGGTGGCTTAACCCCCCCTGGTCCTCAGGACACTCATCTACTGACGGGGTGCGATGGGCTCCTGAGCAGAAAGGGGGGGGCTATCACACAGAAAAGGGGGTGAGGTGTCAGAGTCCCTGGAACCCCCTCTGGGGGTCAAAGTGACAGGTGACTCGGGACTGGGGGGCGGGGATTGATGGGGAACAACATGGGGGAGGGGATGGATACTGATCAGGGGGAGGGGCACAGATGGAGGGAGGGAATATTGATTAAGGGGAGGAGACAGGGATGGGGAAGGAAATATTGAGGGAGAGGGGCACAGATGGGAGGAGGGGGTATTGATCAGGCAGACGGGTACTGATGGGGTGGAAGGTAGCAGATGGAAGGGGGTGCATGGGGAGGGAGCGAAGCCACTGCAGCCTGGGGGTGGGGGGCAGAGAAAAGCAAACCTGCCAGGAATCAGGAAGGCAGAGGCGGAAGTGCTGACTGGGCCAGAAATCAGAGGCCTCGAAGCGCAGGGGCTGGGAGGGGGGAGCAGGTCCTCATCCACAGCTTCCTCCTCTCCACTCCCCTCCCTTCTGAGAAGGGGGGCTGACCCCCCCAGGGATTGGGGTGCCCTTTGTCCAGTGACCCAGGGTCTGGCCTGTGTCGTGTCGCGGGACCCCCCACCCCCAGACCTGCCTTCCCTGTTCACCCAGACTGGGGGCCTGGTCTCCCCCATAACCCAGGCTCCCTGGGGAGTCTCTCATCAATCTGTCACCTCGCTTCCATGTCTCACTGCCCCCAACACCAGTCCCAGAAAATTCTTTCCAATTCCCAGACCTGGCTAGGCCCCTCCCTCCCTCTAAGCCCTTCCATGGCTCCCCAACCCCCAGCCAGAGCCCGTGTTCCAGCTATTTCCCATCCCTCTGGCCTTCGTCAGTGCCAGGCCCTGGCCTGGGCACCCGCATCCTTCCTGCCTGGCCAGCCCTCGCTCCCTCCTCAGAGTGTCACCAGCCCTGTCCCACCCTCTCCGGGTCCCCATCCTCCCCCTGACCCGAGGGGCCGGGAAAGGCGCTGCCTGTCTGCCTGCTTCGGTGCCCCCCCTTTTGGGCTGTTCAGGTGGGGCGGCCCCCCTCCCCATGCAGAGTTGATAAGGGAAGGGGTGAGGTGGAGGGTGGCCGGGAAGGGTTAGGCAGGCAGGGCCCCTTCCCTGTTGTTTTTATTAACTTTGGTTCCTGAAGCCATCAGGACATTCCCAGCCTCCCGTGGGGAGGGCTGGGGTGGGGGCGGGAGAGGAACGCCTGCTCCGAGCCCTGGAGGGGGAGGCATCCAGCTGCTGGGACTCGGAGAGGATGGCGAGGTCATGGGGGCCTAAAACACAAAGCCGGGGGTCCTGGGGTCCCCCCAGCCAGCTGGGTGCCCCTGACCCAGTGAGCCCTGTCTGGTTCCCGGCCAGGACTCTGCAAAGCAGCGTGATTAACACGTGGGCACGTGAGGGATGCGGGTGGTCTTGGCCTTCCGGTGCCCTTTCTGGATGAAACTGGTCCCCTAACGTTCTGGGACCTTCAAAGTGCCCCCAGGAGGTACCCAAGGTTAGAAGACAGAGGTTCAAAGTAAGTGAAGCAGGGCCAGGAGGGAGGGGGAGCCAGGTCATCCCCACACGCTCGGTACCCCTGGAGCTGTACCCAGGCCCGCCTTGGAGGGCCCCAGGACACCAGACTGTGGCGGGTGACTCCCTGGGTCCGGTCAGCGTGGCAGATTCTGATCTCAGCGGAGAATGAGAGATGTAGCCATCTCCCCACCTCCTCCCCACCCCTGTCTGAGGACCCTCCCACAGGGGCTGGAGGGCCTGAACATGGCCCCTGGGACCCTGCAAATCTCCATGCTCTGTGGTTCTGGTGGTTCCGACCCGTTGCGGAGCCTGGGTGGGTTTCTCTGTGCATCTGGGCCCCAGAGGGCCTGCGGGCGCTGGTGCTGTCCTCGGGCCATTGTACAGTCTGCAGCCCCCTCCCCAACACGCACCGGACATCAGGGGCTTTGGTCCAGCCTCCACCCTCAGACTTCGCCTGTCAACACACTCCCCGCCTGCACACAGCACAGACTCGAACCCTGACCGAGGGCTGGAGCCAGGACACAGGGGTGGGGGGCTGAGGCCACCTCCCACTCCACCAGAAGCGGGGAACCGGTCCCAGTTCTGGATCTGCCGGGCTCTGTCCTCCACCGCTGTGCAGCCTCAGGCAACCTGCTCCTCCTCTCTGAGCCTCCTGGGCTCGCGCTCAGCCCGCCTTCCTCCCAACCCTGCACACACTCAGCTGCAGTAACACCAGCGCTGCCTCTGCTGCCGCCCTCCCGCCTCGCAGGCTGTAACTGAGGTGGTGCATGCACGCTGTACTGGGAGGCCCATCACCTGTCACAGGCTGCCTCGGTTTCCCCACCTGCCCCTGGCATCCAGGAGTCCTCTGCCACCTCCTGCTCACCTCCCCCATGGTCCCTCTGACCGATGACATGGAAGGGATGAAGACCAGGGGGTGGAAAGCTTGGGGTGACGTGATCCTGGGCAAATCCCCTCACCTCTGTGGGCCTCGGTCTCCCCACCTATACAAATGGGCCCGGGGGGCCAGAGCCCATGAGGGGTCTCCTGGCAGGAAGCTGGGGCTATAGCCATACCTGAGGCCCTGGAAGGGTATGGGAACCTGGTCCCCCTGCCACACTTAATGGCCACCGTGCCATGGTACGGCGAGGGGGGGTGGCATGGGACCCAGCAGGCTGGCCTCTCCTGCACACCCAGGCTGGCCCCTCTGCCCTGGCCCACCCTCCCGCCACCAGCTGGCCTCTTGGCCCCTACCTGTGCCTGATAAATGCCCGCTGGATCCCTTGGTCCTAATCCCACAAAGGAACGGTTTGCAGGGGACGTGCCGGGCGTAGAGTAGGCTGCAGGGAGGAGAGAGACCGAGAGCCCGTTAGCAAAGGGGGCCGCACGGGAGCACCCAGAGAGGGTGGCCGCTGCCCAGGGTCACAGAGCACCCAGTGCCCTCCCTTGGCCGACCTGGGCACCCAGAAAAGCTCACAGCCACAGGCCCCTGGGGTCACTCGGGCGGGGCGTCTGCTAGGAGTGAAGGCACAGGATGAAAGATGGATAATTCAGAAACCGCCCGTGAATTATTCAGGGTGTTCCACCGCCTGGTCCATCCTGCGACGGCAGCCTGCATCCCGCACAGGGCGCCATCAATTATTGAGGCTATTTTATTTATTAATTTTCCTCCTGGAGAGGCAGGGGGAAGGCTGGGTATGTACATCCACATATATATATATCTGTATATTTGTATTTTAATTTCACCCATCATTTTGTGGGCGAGTGAATAATTCATGGCTGGGTGCTACTGTGGGTCGGGCCTCAGGCAGGCTGAGACTGGGTGGGGAGGGTTTCTGTGTGGTCTTGGCCGGTGAAGTCGGTGGGAGGCCGTGAGGCTCCAGGGCTACGGGGGAAGCAGACTAAAGCTGCAGTTAGGAGCCGGGTGACGGGGAGAAGAGGGAATCCGTGTTTACTCTGCATCTATTAAGTGTCTACTGTATGCCAGGCACCGGGCATGATCCATTTAACCCACAGTGGCCTCAATGAAGCCAACATGATTATTTTCCCATTCCACAGATGAGACAGGAGGTAGTCGGTGATCACCATCACCGCATACTGACTCCACTCTGTGCTCGACGTTGCACTAAATGCTCTCCCTGATCTATTTCACTGACTCGCTCCCCACAGGTATGGTGACTGTCCCATTTTGCAGCTGAGAAAACTGAGGCTCAGAGAGGGGAGGACATTTGCCCAAGGTCACACAGGGAGTGAGTTGCAGAGGCAGGATTCAAACCCAGCGCCCTACACTGCATCTGGTGTTTAGGCAAGACCCGTCTGTACCTGAAGCTGCCTGCGCCTTGGCAGGCAGTGATGCTGCGGGCGGGAGTGCTCATGCAGGAAGGAGACCAACGGGCCAGATGGGACCGCTGGCCCTATGGCTCGAGCGGGGTGAGGAATCTCATTTGGGGAGCGAGGGAGACATCGAAAAGGGGTGAGAGGCAGAATGAGGCCTCAGGGAGAAGCCTGGGGGTCTGAGACTATCTGCCCAACTGGGGCTGCTCAGCCTGAGAGGACACAGGGGTCGGAGGCCCCAGCGAGGCCCCTGGCGAAGCGCGGACAGCCCCCCTCGCCTGCTCTGGAGCCCAGGGAGGGTCTGGGCACACAGCCCCTGCTGGTGGGTAGAGCCCAGGACAGGGAATCTGGGAGTGGCTTTCCAGCCTGGAGCAGCCCCAGAGGGGGGAGTGCATGGGGCCAGCGGGCCGTGATCTGGAGCCATATCCACAGTGTGTGGAGTTCTAGAAGGTAAGGAGACCAACCCAGGGGCTTCGCAGCTCACCCGGGCCTCTGGGGTCAGGCGGGCAGGCAGAGACCATCCCATGGATAGGTATGGCTCAGCCCAAGTCACTAGCAAGAATAGGGCCTGTTGGGGTCATTTCCCCACAAACTTTGGAACTCTGAAATTTTTATATGAAATGTCAGGATTTTAACACAAGAGATTTTCATTTTCCACAAAGGGCAGCTGTGGGCCATGCCTGGCCTTCAGGCTGCCAGCTGGAGATCTTCACCTACTGTCAGCGGCTGCTGGCATGGAGGAGGGCTCAGGGTCCACAGTGGGCAAATGGGGGCCCCAGGCCACTTGGCCAATGGGAGCGGACAGCAGACTTGGCCCTGATGTCCCCTAAGGCTGTCCTGGCCCCTGGGGGCCTGACCCTGCAGCCCCTCAGTGGGGACTCAGGGAACTCACCAGTACCCACCAAGCTGGGCCTGAGCCCCCAGCCGCAGCAGTCGGGGAGGGGAGTGAGGGGGGCCCCTTGGGGATGCCCACCCTGCCTCAGGCACCGCTTCCCGAGTGCTTACAGGGCGAGGTCGGTGACGTGCTTCCTCCCCCGGAGGTGGGTTTGGTGGCAGGGGGAAGCGCCAGCCTCGGCAGCCCGGGGGGCAGGGGTGCCAGCATCTGAGCAGAAAGGCAGTGACTGGACATTTTGAGCTGACCACTTCCATTTAACTGGGGGGAACAGAGAGACAGGTGGTTAAGGCGGCGGCACCCCCGCCGCCTCGGGCTGCTGTTCGCGTCCCGCTGGGGGACGAGGGTGGCATGGCGGGACGGGTTTGGTGGGTACTACGGGCCCTGCAGGCCTCCAGCATCCTGGGCCCGCACTTCCCCCGTCTCCTCCTTAAGCCACGTCATCCCCTCGCTTTCCTTCCGCCAGGTGCCGCCTTGCCCTAAACCACATGGTGGCCTCACGGTGCTCTGCTTTCCTCACCCACTGCCAGGACCTGGCCATCCATCACCTCGCCAGCGGCCCTAACATCCACAAAGCTCCAAACACCGAGAGCTTTTGTGGAAGTCAGGCCTGAGCTGCAGCCATAGGACCACGCCTGATTTCAAAGCGCTTCGCAAGATACACGCTGTCAATTCTAACATCTGAAAAGCCGAATGCGGAACCGGCCCAGCTCTCAGTGCTTCGGAAGAGAGCCGTGGCCCTCCGCCATTCGGGAAACCATTTACAGCAGAAGCTGCACGTTAGCAGGCCCCCTGAGGCCTCGCCGGGAGCCCGCGCGGGAGGGGAGGTCTGTGCCCCCAAACTCACCGGTCCAGGTTGCTGGCTGGCAGGGTCACAGGCCAGTGAGACGAGATCTTTGAGCGGGTCCTGGGGGTTGAGGTGAGGTGGGTAGCGTATGGCTGTGTGAGGGAAGTAGGTGGAGGCTGCCTGGGGCAGGATGGAGGTGGTGGGGAAGTGCAGGGCCGAGGACGGGTGCGGGCTCCGGGCGATCCCTGCAGGGATGGAAAGAGGCGGTTACTGCGGGCTCTGCCTGGTCTGTCCTGCTCTCTGGGACCGCACTGTGGGTGGCACCTGCACCTCGGTGCCTTTGTAACAGTGACAGCAGCCGGGCCCAGCAGGGCCTGTGATGGCCTGGCCCTGTCGTCATTCATACACCCAAACGTGCTGGCTTTCACGGAAAGCCCTCAAGGTTTTGGTGCCATCCCTGCTCTCAGGGGTTAGGTCCCCTGCCCCGGGCCACACAGCAAGCGGATGGCTGACCCAGGGCTGGAGCCCAGGCCATCTGGCCCCACAGCCCACACCCTCACCCTGGGCTCAGCTAGCTCTTTCTGTAAAGGGCCGGGTGGTCACTATTTCCTGAGACTGAGATATAATCTGCATACTATACAAGGGTGGGCCAAAGGACGTTTGCATTCAACCACTTCAGGAGGCAGTGGGGCTAACCCACGCGGGTCACTGTGTGGGTCACTGAAATTCGGGTTTACTGATTTTCAGAGACTTTAAGCATGTGAGCATCATGAAGCCAGCGATTTGAGCACTTACAAGGTTGTACCTAAGTGCACTGTGCCATTCTTTGGCGTTAACAAAGCTGCTGGAATAACCATAACCTGCATGTCTTCCCATGTGAACTGGAAACCTACTCTTGCCCACCCCTGTACAATTGCCTTTTAAAGTAATTCAACGGTTTTTACACACAGAGCTATGCAACCAACACAACAATCCTTTAGAAAACGTTCATCATCCCCGAAGGAAGGCCCCAGCCCCGGGCAAACACTTCCTGTGTCTGGACCTGCCCGACCTGGACTTTCACGTAAATGGAATCGCACACGGTGTGGCCTTGGGTGTCCGGCTGCTCTCACTGAGCGTCGTTTCCAAGGTCCAGCCACGTGTAGCTTCAGCGCTTCACTCCTTTTCGTGGCTGAATCTGTGCTGTTTGCTTTCGTTTCTAAACAATTTAGTCTGTTTTACTACATTCACTCTCTAATTCCAGAGCATCGCCCCGAAAAGAAGCCCTGTGTCCATTTACTGTCACCCCCCCCCCCCCCAC